GTTTTGGGGGGGGGGAGGTGCATGAGGATTTGGTGTTTTCATTGCTTCACCGACGACGAGGAAGAAGAAGAAAACGGCGGTAGACTGAAACAATCGTCAGTTTCGGCGATGGATAACAACAACGATAGGGATTATTTGGAGACTGTGGACTCACGTTGGAGACTGTGTGAGGAGATGCTAACGACGGAGGGAGACGGTGGTGGTGAAGAAGCAGAGGCTGAGTTGGATCGGTTATGGACCTCTGAGATTCGGTTACATCGTTTGGTTCAAGGAGAGAGTAGCAATGCAGTGACTGTGGCTGCAGCTGAGGATAGTACAATGGAAGAAGCTGATCACGATTCGCATCACAAGCGTGCTAAAGTGTACTCTGGGCTTACGTGAGCTCTGTTTCTTGTTTTTAAGGATGACATGAATCTTTTGACTGTCATTTGTGTGATCGTTTTCATGGTAATTCTGATGATGTAAGTTTAATTGCAGTGAGTGCCGGTTAGCTTCAGGGGTATCTTTAGATGCTGGAAATTCTGGATCTTCGTCGGTGGAGAGAACTGTTAGTTTTGGTTTTGCCTCTTCTTCTCGGACGGATACTGATATGTTCTGTCAGAATTACATCTTGAATTATAGTCGGAAAGATGGGAAAAAAGATGATGGAGATAGTAATGGTTCTTCAGACACTGAAGATTTCGAAGTTCATATTGATTTGACTGATGATCTCTTACATATGGTATGCATTTTTTATTTTTGCTTTTTAAGATTAACACATAGGTTTCCTTTTCTTGGTCTTAAAAAAATTCTAATTTTTTTAATTTCCATCAGGTATTTTCGTTCTTGAATCATGTCGACCTCTGTTGCTCTGCTATGGTATGTCGGCAGTGGAGAGTAGCTAGTGCTCACGAGGATTTCTGGAGGGTCTTGAACTTTGAAAATATAAGGATTTCTATCGAACAATGTAAGTTGTTCTTAATTCACATGTTCAAGCGGGTTTCTTGAGTATTGTACTCTTGTTTTACATTCAGTGAGTACAATATAAATGTAACATCAGGGGCATTCATTCTGCATTATTTATGATGAGAATTGCGTTCAAAAGCAAGTCTAAGCACCCGAAAATGGCTCTGATTTGTAGTATTTAATTTATTCCAAGGCGCTGTGTTACTCAAATTTGGATTTCTTCTATTTTGCTAATCCATATTCTGAAGACTTGAATATACATAGGAGAGAGTTAATCTTTCTTTGCTTTCTGTGCAGTTGAAAACATGTGTCTTCGCTATCCAAATGCCACTGAAGTGAATGTTTATGGCGCTCCTGCTGTTAACGCTCTGGCTATGAAAGCAGCTACCACTTTGAGGTATCTGTCTTGTTTAGCTCCGAATATTGTTCCACAAATTATAATAGATATCAATCATAATGTTTTTCATCTATTTCAGGAATCTTGAGGTCTTAACTATAGGAAAAGGTCATATCAGTGAAAACTTTTTCCAGGCATTGGGCGAATGTAATATGTTAAGGAGTGTGACTGTAAGTGATGCTACTCTGGGAAATGGTGCTCAGGAAATCCACCTGAGTCATGATCGGCTACGTGAACTTAAAATTACAAAATGCCGTGTTATGCGTTTGTCTATCAGGTGAAGTTGTTTTTCAATAAATTCATTTTAATTCTTATTCGTTTATGTGTATTCCATTCTTAATTGTTTTTTGTTCTATTTTTAGGTGTCCACAGCTCAGGTCTTTGTCATTAAAAAGAAGCAACATGTCCCAGGCGATGCTTAACTGTCCACTCCTTCAACTTCTTGATATAGCCTCGTGCCATAAGCTCTTGGATGCTGCTATCCGTTCAGCAGCCACTTCATGTCCTCAATTAGAGTCGCTAGACGTTTCTAACTGCTCCTGTGTCAGTGATGAAACTTTGCGTGAAATAGCCCAAGCTTGTGCTAATCTCCATATTCTTAATGCTTCATACTGCCCCAATATATCTCTTGAGGTTGGTCATAATATCTGCTGCTGCTTTTCCTCCCCCTTTTGTTGTCTTATTCTCGTTTTCCTGACTTGTTTGCCCTTTTCCTCTTTGAAGTCAGTACATCTTCCCATGTTGACAGTTCTCAAGCTTCATAGCTGTGAGGGTATAACATCTGCGTCGATGACTTGGATTGCTAATAGTCCTGCACTAGAGGTCTGTGATTGCTTTTGTTTTTTCCACACAAACATGCATATTGTTCTACAACCTTTGAATAGAGGCCACTGTTTCCTGTTGGGTTAACCACATATAATCTATTGCAGGTTTTGGAGCTTGATAATTGCAATCTGTTGACAACTGTATCTTTGCATCTCTCGCGCTTGCAGAGTATAAGCCTAGTCCATTGCCGCAAGTAAAGTCCTCACCTTTGGTTTTTTGAACACCTGCAGATTTTCTTTCTTTTTTATGTTTTGCTATTGTATCACTCAAGTGTCTTCTTTTCACTGTGTTTAACAGATTCACAGATCTGAACTTGCAAAGCACCATGCTTTCATCAATCACTGTTTCAAACTGTCCAGCACTGCGCCGTATCACAATCACTTCCAACTCTCTTCGAGTATGAACTTAGTTATTATGATTTTGTTACTGCAGTTCCAGTTAGTTGGAATTTTTTTATCTGATAAACCCGATATTGTGCATTTTGGTTGCAGCGATTAGCTCTCCAGAAACAGGAGAATTTGACAACATTAGTTCTGCAATGTCACTCCTTGCAAGAAGTGGATCTCTCTGATTGTGAATCATTGTCTAACACTGTTTGTGAAATATTTAGTGATGATGGTGGATGCCCAATGCTGAAGTCGTTAATTCTTGACAATTGTGAGGTGTGCTACAGTTACTTCCTTTTTTTTTTTTTTTTGGCTACAGCTATCCGCTGCATAAGATAGCAGGATGACATTTTATTGAAATAATTTATTGAAATGAAAATCGGCAGTGGTGATTTTGCTGGTTATTGAACTGATTATAACCTTTTTGTTATTTTGTAGAGCTTAACAGCAGTGCGGTTCTGCAATTCATCATTAGCAAGTCTTTCCCTCGTTGGCTGTCGCGCTGTTACTTTTCTGGAGTTGAAGTGCCCTCGCATAGAGCAGATTTGTTTGGATGGATGTGATCATCTTGAAACTGCATTCTTCCAGCCTGTGAGTGTTACTTCTTTCATATCAAATAACTAACTTATCTTAACTGATGAATTTCTTGATTCTCCCTTCTGGTTGTGAATAGGTGGCGCTCCGGTCTCTAAATTTAGGAATTTGCCCGAAACTGAGTGTGCTCAATATCGAAGCACCTTATATGGTGTCTCTTGAATTGAAAGGTTGCGGTGTACTGTCTGAAGCATCTATTATTTGTCCTCTCTTGACATCTTTAGATGCATCTTTCTGCGGGTAATTACTTTTTTTGTTGTTGTTATTTTCCATTTTCGTGACTGATTTTGTGCTACTGCTAATCAATTTACCCCATTACCGTTCCAGCCAACTGAGGGATGACTGTCTGTCTGCAACCACTGCTTCTTGCCCACTAATTGAGTCACTGGTGCTAATGTCATGCCCTTCTATCGGCTCTGATGGCTTGTCTTCCTTGAACGGGATCCCAAATTTGACTGTTCTTGATTTATCGTACACTTTCTTGATGAATCTGGAGCCCGTCTTCAAGTCCTGTTTTCAACTGAAGGTAATTAAGGCATTATGATTTGTATGATGCTGGATGTTTTCCCTTTCTGTCGGCAGTAGAACATATATTATATCTCCTGTCAGTGACAACTTCCTGAGTTATGTTGTGTGCATTCTTTGTATATCAGCCATTCATGTTTTATTCCTATATCATATCCCATTGCTTTTGGGCTTACTTTGAGACTTTTATTGTTTAGGTACTCAAATTACAAGCCTGCAAATATCTCACTGACTCATCACTGGAGCCTCTATACAAAGAAGGTGCTTTACCAGCACTTGAGGAGTTGGACCTGTCTTATGGAACTCTCTGTCAGACTGCGATAGATGATCTACTTGCGTGCTGCACACACTTGACCCATTTGAGCTTGAATGGCTGTGTTAACATGCATGACCTTGATTGGGGATCAACCAATGTACAGCTATATGATTACTTTGGTGTCTACAGTTCTAGTGAGAATACTCAAGAACCAGTTGAAACAGCCAACCGGTTACTGCAAAGCCTCAACTGTGTGGGTTGCCCCAATATCAGAAAAGTGTCTATACCACCTGCAGCGCGCTTTTACCATTTATCATCACTGAACCTTTCGCTATCGGTCAATTTAAAGGAGGTTGATCTCGCCTGTTCCAACCTGGTCTTACTTAATCTAAGGTATGAGAGGATTTACCATTTGTTATTCGACTTCTTTCTTTATTTCCCATCAATGATTGGTGTTATTCCATTGCTAATTAAATTTCAAATCAAAATGAATTGTCTAGCAACTGTTGCTCTCTGGAAGTACTGAAGCTTAGCTGTCCAAGATTGGCTAGTCTCTTTCTTCAGGTATGTTTTGCCCCATAACTGGCATCTTTTATCTGTTAATTGTTTTGAGTTTTCGTAAAGCTAGTTAAATCAGCTCAGTATACGGCTTTATATATGTTAGAGATGATATTACTAAACACACGTTGGTACCTTTGTCTTTTGTAGTCTTGCAACATGGATGAAGCAGGAGTTGAGGCAGCTATATCAGGATGCAGTTCACTAGAGACACTGGATCTCCGTTTCTGTCCAAAGGTAATAATGGGGAGTGTTTACTTCGATATCAAACTCAAGCAAATAATATCCATGGATTCATAAAAGACTTCAAAATTTGAAAAATCTTTCTTGGTGGTTAACAGATCTCCTCAGTGAGCATGGTGAAGTTCCGAACAGTGTGCCCTAGTTTGAAACGCGTGTTCAGCAGCCCGAATCTTGTGCAAGATTAGGGTTCTGCGCCGAATGTTTGATTATATACAAGTTTTTTCTGCAGATTATACAAATGCTGCGTTGTGTTGTGTGGTGTTTGGGATGTAAATGAGTTTCAGTAGTGCTTATAGGCCTCTGGAGCTTCTTGTACTGTGGCCTTCTTAGTCCTGCTTGTTGTGATGACACAAGCCTAACAACATAAAATACTCCTTTGTAATATTTCTTTTTGTTGCGTGAGCTCTTAACTCCTTTCTCTTGGCAAGTTTTCCTGCGAAGGAAGTGTTTTATTATAGTTCAACATAGTAAAGGTTTGTTGTGTGCTTGTATTATTGACATTGTAACCAATCTAGGTAACCTCCAAAAGAGAGCACTTCATTTATGGTACCGAACTATATGGGCAATAATCATTTGTGTCAATCTTTTGTTATTGTTTGTATGTGAGAAAAAAGTTTGTGAAAATTATAAATTAAAATTACATTTTCATGTGGATCTGAATGACATTTTTTGTTGTGTTTCAGCATTTTGTATTTACTTCTCATAATTTATAAAATAACTATATTTAACAGGAATATTGAAAAATCCATAACCATATGTATTTTTACCCACTCTAATAATTAATAAAAGGATTTTCATTTATTTTTTTCATATAGTTTTAAGTTATTTTAGAATCAATTATGAAAATAATTATGGACTTTTAAAAAGTAATCTCTAAACCCACAAAAGTAGCATTTTTGTAAGATTGAGAATGTTGATGATGGATTTTATGGTTTTAGAAGATAACTTTTCAAAAGTATCTTAAAAGCGACTAATTTTTATGGCAATGGTACTTATTAATATAG